ACAATCCATCGTTCAGCCAGTTTGTCCCCAAAGATTTGGGCATTTGTGTCATTTCGTCCTGTTCCCAGATCAAGCTGAGGGCCGAGCTGCTGTTTCTCATGGCCCAGTAACAAGATGCAGATGAACTGGGGAGGAAGAGAGTTTTTACTTCTGTAACCAGTTACAGGGAGAAGGCCTGGAAATGATCACCAGACCAACTCCAAATTACAAAGCTTTTCAGAGCTTATATACCTTCTAAGCTATATGTCTACGTGTAAGTGTGCACTCATCTGAAGACATAAATGATTACCTTCTTTTCATCTATAACTAAGGTCTGAGGCCTGAAGACCTGCTTCTGAAGCCTCAGTGAATTGAATCTAAATGGGTCCAGGTGCTGGGGTGATTACCTTTATCTTGTCTCCTGCTAAATCACGGAGGTTTGGAGAGTGTCTTCAGACCCCCAATACAATTGGTTTAAACCTAAATGGGTCCTGTGAGGAATTCCTTCATTATTTCGTCATGCTTTAAGGCCCAGGAAAGGCCTAGGCAACACTCTTGATGGGCTTCTGTTACATTCCAGCCTTTGTATAAGGGCACTGGCTTTTTCAGCTTTGAATATTTAACTTAACCACTCAATTAGTGCTGAAGCCGTTGTCACGGAGGCCTGCGTTAGGGAAACCTGGCCTGCCACATCCTGGGGGAAAGCATGGGGTAAGTCTGCATATTGGAGGACAGTGTGGCCGTGGTTGTGGGAACATGCTGTTACCGTTGCCAAAGTGCGGTTTCACCGGATTCAGTCAAATCAATGGCCTTCCTCCTCCCCCTTCTTTGTTCTGTTGTTGCCTTTTTTGGTACCTTTCTTCCATCCTATTCCCTTATAGCGAAAGCTTTATTTTCTTTTAATACTTCTACTATGGATCACTGAAAACTCTTTCTCATTTTAGAAACATGGAGAGGCACTTTTCCTTATTTCTCCCACTAAGTAAAGCTAAATATCTTCAACGCCATAGATAAAACAAAATAAGATGGCTCTCAAAGGCGGAGAGCGGACAGACTAGCTAGGAACTATGGACCCAAGGAATGGTGCCATGATGAGACGCCTGAGGCTCATATATTATATATATATATAGCTGCCTATAGTTTCCAGATTTGAAGCTGAAGATGCCTCCAATCAGGAAATGCTAATGGTCACAAACAGTAGCGCTCTATGAAAGCCTGTTTTTCTCCACCGAAAGTGTAAGAAAAAAGGAAACTAAAAAATAACAGCTCGCATCCAAACAAATAGCACAGAAAAAACTGTGGTCTCACACCCTCTCAGATCAACAAAGGCGGAGTAGGAAGACTAGGTTTCCACTCTGACCCAGCTGTTCCCGCACCCTGCACATTCCACTCCTGCTGGGTGGTCAGAGAAGGCTGAGCAGGATTTTGAGAAGTTTATCTCCATCAAACAGTAGGAAATCCCACCCCACTCTGCAGGTGTCAGCAAAGAGCACACGGGGAGTCTGGACTTCCACCCTTTTGCTGTGGCACTAAAACACCTTCCCCTCCACCCTTTAGTGGCGTCAGAGGGGGCTTAGTGGAGATTCCAAACTCTCCCCACTGCTCACGGAAGGGTGAGGCCACTCCTACTCCTGCCCTGTGGTGTCAGTGGAAGCCGTGAAGAAAGCAATAAGAAGGCATTCCAGCCAGGCACGTGTCAGCAAAGGTTGAATAGGACAGCTAAATTCTTACCCCTACTCAGAAGTAATGAGGTATCCCCTCCTGGCCACCTCCCTCCAGAGGCCTAGTGGGGAACCTGGATTTGGTTCTCACATGACAGTGATGAAGAGATCCTGCCACATCCCCTGCTAGCACCAGAGGAGTCTATGGAACAGAGGTATGTAAGATCCAGTCTCACAACATAACACACAAAATGTCCAGGATACAGTCACCAATGAATCCTTGTACCAAGAACCAAAAACATCTCAACCTGAATGATAAAAAACAACCAATAGATGCCAAGAACAAACTGGCACAGATGGAATTATCTGACAAAGAATTTAATAGTTGTTATTATGTATCAGATTTACTATAAATGTTGGTGAAGTGGGATAGCTCAATATAGCTAATGAATTATAAGTCCCATTTAATGAAATGTATTTATGCAAATGGTCACCCAGCACCAACAACCACTGAGAAGTTAATGACAGCGGGCCAGGTGCGGTGGCTCACGCCTGTAATCCCAGCACTTTGGGAGGCCGAGTCAGGTGTATCACTTGGGATTAGGAGTTCAAAGACCAGCCTGGCCTGACCAACATAGTGAAACCCTGTCTCCACTACAAATACAAAAATTAGCCAGGCGTGGTGGTGCACGCCCGTAATCCCAGCTACTCGGGTGGCTGAAGTGGGAGAATCATTTGAACCTGTGAGGTGGAAGTTGCAGTGAGCCAAGACGGCACCAATGCACTCCAGCCTGGGCAACAGAGTGAGACTCCACCTCAAAAAAAAAAAAAAAAAAGTTAATGACAGCAATTAATAATGGCTTTTTACAACATGAGACTGGAATATAGGTTAAAAACTTAAGAATTAGGGTCAAAAATGTATGTGTTCTACTCCATGTATACCAATTATTGTCAACTGTGTTATGGATTGGGGTTCGTTTGTCCACATTCATTTGCATATTTTCTTTCACCATCCCTTACAATCCCTGTACATACATCCCGTAATCATGTACAAGTGCTTATATACCTAATTGCTTGTAAATCAGGATTATTTAAATATTGTCAAACATAATTATGAATATTATTCGTGAGAATGGAACCCTTAGAGACAAGTGCCCATCAAACTTTAAGTTAAATAGTTCATTAATTTTCTAGTTGCTCTGAACTAGTTTTCTTCCTTAATGAGTTCTTAGTATCTAGTTCCTTGAAAAACGAGCGCGAAAAGGTTTTATTGAATTTGATTGTCTTTAATATACCATCTCACTGTAAATACTGCTTCTTCTCTCTCTCTTTTTTAGTCAGTTTTTATTGAGTCTTTATTTATGAGATAATGGCATGATTCAAAAGCAATACAAGCCTTTTTACGGAATATTTTTCCCTGTGAGATAAGACTATAAAAGTTCTTGTAAACCTTTCACTCTTAAAAGCAAGAATTGGAAGACTCCACTGAGATTTCAAAACCGTTGAATATCTGAAATTGCATGGCCATTTGCCTTAACATGATTTCTTCACCTGGTTTTTATTTTCAAGAGAAAAAAAAATTGTGGATGACTAACTTTTCCATTAAATCAAATGTAAAAGGATAAATGTGTCTCTTTCTACCTTTACTGGTTTTATTTGAAGGTATCTGAATCTAAGGGATGAATGTTGTTAGGCAAAAGTGGTTTTCTAATTTTAATATTTAAGTAAACGAAGACAGGAAGCTTTTTGCTCTTAAATGGCAGTTCCAACATTCTTGTATTTGTAAGAAATTCTTGTCTTATAAAACAAATAAAACTGACTGTGTTATGAATAAGAGTTCTTGGAAATTGACCAAAACGCGGAAAATGAAACTTTCCGACCCTGGACTCTGTAGCATTACCGAGTTTTATGAGGTAGAGTGCACAAATTATAATTCTTTCCAAATCAGTACACCTCAAAAATGTAGGAAGCAGAAAATTACTGACAAGCAAAATGAAACTAGTATTTACAGTAATTAAGAGAGGAGGAATTTGGGAGGGGACTAATTTTTAGAGGGGGATCTCTATTACTTAATTCAATAATAACTCTACTCCAGAAAATTTAAAAAGCAGTTTCTGCAATAGAGTTATAGAGTGGCCCTTGCTCCACCCTGTGGTATCTGAAATATCCACTCTTTCAGCTACACGGTTTAGGCAGATATATCAGATGCAAACACTTCAGCCGTACTCATGCTGTATTTTCTTTTCTGCTTAAATTACAAAATGATTGTGCATGATTTGAAAACATGGTAATGATATTTGGAACCTCCCAAACCTTTTTAAATTAAATTTGGGATATGCTGGAACCTTATGGTAGAAGGTAAACTCTAGAATTCTTAGCACAAAAATAAACTCAATTTTATAAAACATTCATTCTGATGATAGGATTTCATCATATTTTTGTGGAATACACTGGGAAAGAGCAAGCCATTACTTCAATTTAATTCCTCTTTGATCGGTTCTACAGCCACTGCAAAACTAACTCTGGACAATAAAGATTCAGAACATTACAAGTGTAGTATGAAATGACGAGATTTCTGCCTAAGGGGTGACAGCTGTCTGAGGTTCTAATAATGTTCAAGCCCACTTGGGAAAGAGTTAGTTTTCCTCTAGATGACATCTAGAAGCTGTTATTTTATAGTAAACTCCTATAGTCACAGAGAGTTATAAATAGTATTTTGAATTGGCCTCTCCGATGAGCTCTGTGATATCACTTCAACAGCTTTTAAGAATGATTTTACAAAGAGAATTTTTTAAATGTTATGCAAGTTAAATGACATTAGAAAAAGTAGAGTCAAAACAGAAATACTTCTAGAGTAGATTTACATAGTACTTTACAATTTACAATGTATTGTAGATGCGACCTCAACACATGGCATGTTTATTCCTATCCAATCAGGTTAAACGGAATACAACTCCATGTCTTAGATGATTCAGCAATACACCAAAATCAGCTTGGCTCAAACCATGCAAATACTATCTCAACTCAATTTTTAAGAAACCACAGACATTCCCCCTAGGGAATGAACTGTTTATGACCAGGCAGTATCTTTTATTTTTTAAAGAAATTCTCCAATAGAGCATATTCACAGGCTAAAACTGAGAATTCTGACACTCTCACTGCATAAATGCACTTAAATATTTCAAAGGAATATTCCAAAAACTAAACATTAACTAGATTCTTGTTTATGCAGTTTAAACAACTATATGAAGCCATATGTAAAATTTTACTCTTCTGCCTGGTTGGATAAATCTGTGAATTCCAAGTCTTGCAAGACCCCTTGTTTTCACTTAGGAAAAAAAATAAAGCAATTCTACTTACTTTGTTCAGTTACCAGTTTATTTCCTTGCAGCTCCAAATCCATCCTCCATTGCTCTGCCTGTGACACTGGAGCTAAACCTTATAAATATTTCTCCTCTGTCAGATGCCCAATGTTAGTGTTGTCAGCAGATGGCTCTAGGAAACACTGAAGGAAAACAGGGCTTGTTTCCAGTGTTTTTCTCTGCTTGCTCCTATGATACACAACATCTAGCAGGGCACAGAAAATGCATTAGGGCCACCCTCCAGTGAGCTCTGCTGTATGGCAACTTTTCACAGGCAGCTTCCCCTGGCATTTCAGAGGACAGCTTCCCTTCAAGCAGCTTACCAGCAAATTCCATGAAGCAACTCTCCCCTGTGGATAGTTTCCCAAGCATCCCAGAAGGCAACTTCTTAGCAATTTCTGCTGGCAATAGTCCTCAGAGAACTTTTCCACTAACCAATGGGACATGGTCATGACCCCAGCCTCTCAAATGGCAGAGAAAGGTTCTTACTCCAGATTTGTTTCTCCTTTGATGCTCTTGCCTTAGGCCTACAGGTAATGGCTGTTTCCTATATCTGCAATTCCGCTATTGTTTAGAGTTCTTTTTTTCACTTGGTAAGCAACGGAGGTAGGTTGTAGTTATTATTTTTTTATATTAAACTTTCTCTGTTAAAATTACAATGTGGGTCCTGTATCCTAATTGATCCCAGAATGATATACATCTTCAAACAGTTTTAAATTCAATAATAATTAATGGTACAGATATAAATTTGTTTCAAAATAATGACATAAAAATGTAGGAAATCCAAAATATTACCTTAACAAAATAAGGTCCCACAATCTTTCTTTAAGTAGACATTATTTTTAAAGTATCCACTCACGGCAATATAAATATACCATCTAATACAATACATGTATCTAATCTCTACTGTTTGGAAGGAAATGTCCTGTACTGAAAATACTGTGAAATATCCACATCGGTATTGATACATTAAAATGCCAAGTGAAAATGAGATCAATTTGTGTACTTTTAAATAGAAGTAGATTTGATTACATGTTAGATTACATAATTCAAAGCCGAATGAATTTACCAGAATGAAAAGCCGCTCCCTATCATCAATATGGACATTTTAAAAAGCAAATAGGTCAAAAGAACTAGGTAATTTTTAGAGATATTAAGGTATTTCCATGACCTCAATAAATATGTAGGTCAACACTTCTCTTTACAAATTATCCATTCAACTGTGCTATTCCTTCCTCTCCTCTAGAGGCAAAATTCCCTCAAGATATCAGAACTTACTTTCATAACTTCCTATAGATTTAAGATTATTTAGTTGGAAACAACAGATATTTATGATGTCTGTATTAGTCAGTTTTCACAGTGCTATAAATAACTATCTGAGACTGGGTAATTTATGAAGAAAAGAGCTTTAATTTGCTCAGTTCCACAGACTGTACAGGAAGCATGGCTGGGGAGGCCTCAGGAAACTTACAATTACGGCATGGAGGAAGGGCAAAGGTGGAGCAAGCACGACTTCACATGGTGGCAGGAGAGAGAGAGAAGGGAAAGTGCTACACACTTTTAAATAACCAGATCTCATGAGAACTCACTCACTATCACAAGAACAGCAAGAGGGAAATCCATTCCCATGATACAATTGCCTCTCACCATGCCTCCTCTCCAACACTGAAGATCACAATTCAACATGATATTTCAGTGGTGATGTGGTTTGGCTGTGTCCCCACCCAAATCTCATCTTGAATTCCCACGTGTTGTGGGAACAACCTGGTGAAGTAATTGAATCATGAAGGCAGGTCTTTCCCATGCTGTTCTCTTGAGAGTGACTCATCAGATCTCATGAGATCTGATGGTTTTAAAAATGGGAGTTTCTCTACACAAGCTCTTTTGCCTTCTGCCATCCACATAAGATGTGACTTGCTCCTCCTTGCCTTCCAACATGATTGTGAGGCCTCCCCAGCCATGTGGAACTGTAAGTCTAATAAACCTCTTTCTTTTGTAAATTGCCCAGTCTAGGGTATGTTTTTATCAGCAGCATGAAACTGGATTAATACAGTAAATTGGTACCAGTAGAGTGGGGCATTGCTGAAAAGGTACTTAAAAATGTGGAAGCAACTTTGGAACTGGGTAACAGGCAGAGGTTGGGACAGTTTGGAGGGCTCAGAAGTAGACAGGAAAACATGGGAAAGTTTGAACTCCCTAGAGACTTGTTGAATGGCTTTGACCAAAATGTTGATAATGATATGGACAATGAAATCCAGGCTGAGGAGGTCTCAGATGGAGATGAGGAACTTACTGGGAACTGGAGCAAACGTGACTCTTGTTATGTTTTAGCAAAGAGACTGGTGGCATTTTGCCCCTGCCCTAAAAATTGGTGTAACTTTGAACTTGAGAGAGATGATTTAGGGTATCTAGTAGAAGAAATGTGTAAGCAGCAAAGCATTCAAGATGTGACTTGGGCGCTTTTAAAGGCATTTGGTTTTATAACAGAAGCAGAGCATAAAAGTTTGAAAAATTTGCAGCCTGACGATATGACAGAAAAGAAAATCCCATTTTTTGAGGAGAAATTCAAGCCAGGTGCAGAAATTTGCATATGTGACAAGGAGCTGAATATTAATCCCCAAGATAATAAGGAAAATGTCTCCAGGGCATGTCAGAGGTCTTCATGGCAGCCCTTCCCATCACAGGCCCAGAGACCCAGGAGGAAAATAAGGTTTCAATGGCCAGGCCCAGGGTCCCCATGTTGTGTGCAGTCTAGGGACTTGGTCCCCTGAGTCCCAGCAGCTCTAGCCATGAATAAAAGGGCCAAGTTACAGCTTGGACCATGGCATCAGAGATTGGAAGCCCCAAGCCTTGGCAGCTTCCACGTGGTGTTGAGACTGTGGGTGCAGAGAAGTCAAGAATTGAGGTTTGAGAACCTCCACCTAGAATTTAAAAGATGTATGGAAATGCCTGGATGCCCAGGTAGAAGTTTGCTGCAAGGGCAGGGCCCTCATGGAGAACTTCTGTTAGGGCAGTGCAGAAGGGAAATGTGGGATCAGAACCCCTACACAGAGTCCCTACTTGGGCACCACCTAGTGGAACTGTGAGAAAAGGGCCACCATCCTCCAGACTCCAGAATGGTAGATCCACTGACAGCTTCCACTGTGCACCTGGAAAAGCCACAGATACTCAATGCCAGCCCGTGAAAGCAGCCAGGATGGGGTGTATACCCTGCAAAGCCACAGGGGCAAAGCTGCCCAAGGCCTTGGGAGTCCACCTCTTGCATCAGCATGACCTGGATGTGAGACATGGAGTCAAAGGATATCACTTTGGAGCTTTAAGATTTTACTGTCCTGCTGAATTTTGGACTTGCATGTGGCCTGTAGCCCATTTGTTTTGGTTATTTTCTCCCATTTGGAATGGTTGTATTTACCCAATGCCTGTACCCTCATAGTATCTAGGAAGTAACTAACTTGCTTTTGATTTTACAGCCTCATAGGTGGAAGGGACTTGCTTTGTCTCGGATGAGACATTGGACTGTGGACTTTTGAGTTAATGCTGAAATGAGTTAAGACTTTGAGAAACTGTTGGGAAGGCATGATTGGTTTTGAAATGTGAGGACGTGAGATTTGGGAGAGGCTGGGGCGGAATGATATGGTTTGGTTCTGTGTCCCCACCCAAATCTCATCTTTAATTCCCATGTGTTGTGGGAAGGACCTGGTAGGACGTAATTAAATCATGGGGGCAGGCCTTTCCCATGCTGTTCTTTTGATAGTGAATAAGTCTTATGAGATCTGATAGTTTTAGAAATGGGAGTTTTCCTGGACAAGCTTTCTCTTTGTTTGCCTGCTGTCATCCACGCAAGATGTGACTTGCTCCTCCTTGCCTTCTGCCATGATTCTGAGGCCTCCCCAGTCACGTGGAACTGTGAGTCCAATTAAACCTCTTTCTTTTGTAAATTACCCAGTCTCAGGTGTGTCTTTATCAGCAGCATGAAAATGGACTAATACAGGTGGGGACACAGAGCCAAACCATATCAATGTCCAACCTAAGCAAACATAAACTTTGTTTTATTCATAGGTTCTGATAATTAGGGGAAACTTTTTAAGTAAAACTTTCAAAGAAAAAAACTAGAAAAAGTTTTATTTTGATGCTGTTGGGCAGTTTACACGATTGGCAGGAAGTCTAGAGAACTTCAGGAAAAATCTGGATCAAGAGCTGTTCTAGAGTTCCAGGCAGCAGGCACAACTTGATCATCCTGCAAAAGATAACTGCAGAAAGTAATGAGATCCAAACACCCTCTGTCTTTACTCCTCCTCTGCTTAAAAGTCAAAATCCTTGGAAGGTAAGTCCAATATCTGAGGTTTAGGTCATATGCCTATTCCTTGCCTAGAGAAGACAAGCACTGTAGTTTTTAATCTAAAAAATTGGGAGAGTTAACTAACCCAATAGAAATCAGGATGCTATTAGCTGGAGTGGGGTGAAAAGAAATAGGGTGATCAAAAAATCTTGTCACCACAAAAATATTTTAAGTCAAGTCTCTCATTCCTTAAGCACCACTGATAACAGGTAAGGCACACAGAAGGAATACTCACAAACAGTAATTGATTGTAATGGGCGAAAGTCTGATAAACATAGTCTCTTGTAGATCTGTGTTAAAAGAGGAATGTGGAAACACCAAAGAAGATTCCGAAGAGGCAGACCATCTTTGTATGTTCTCCAATGCTTTTTCTCACAGTGAAATAATATCAACCTTTATCTCATCAGACCAAAAGTATCAGAGATGCTAATGCGACATCCACTGCTAAAAAGTCCTTGTCCCCTTCCAAGAAGGAAAAAGAAGATCTACTGAATGCTTTATTGTCCTAGCATTTAAGGTCAATTAAATGCTCAATGACCATGAAGAGTCACTGTCAGTCATTCATTTCCTATGACTCTGTAACAAATGATCACAAACTTGGTGACTTCAAACAACAAAATTTTTTTCTCTCATAGTCTGGAGTCAGAAGTTCAACATCAGTTTCCTTGGCTGAAATCAAGGTGTTGACAAGGTTGTGTTCCCCCCAGAGGCTCTGGAAGACCATTCCTTATCTCATCTAGTTTGGATGGTACATGGCATACTTTTGCTGCATCCACATCCTCTAATCTCTGCATCCATCTTCACATGGTCTTCTCCTTTTCCGTCTTCTCTTCTGTCTCAAATTTCCTTCTGCCTCTCGCTTTTAAGGGTACTTG